AATATTGGAATTAAAATTGATCCAAATTCTCAGAGAATTTCTCATTTGATATATGCTCGGAGAATTTCTCATTTGATATATGCAGATGACATTCTTATTTTATTTAAGTCAAGACGAGAAGTGTAGGAAAGTTGAAGAGAATTGTGAATGATTAAGGCAATTGGTCAGGTCAAAAAGTTAATAAAGACAAATCATTTATTCTTTCTGGAAAATCTATTAAGAGAAGGAAAAAAAACATATTTCAAGGACTATTGGATTAAATTCTATTTATGAAATGAATTATCTTGGCATGAAAATTGCATTAAGGAGACTTATGAGTTCAGATTTGGATAAGTTGATTGAAAAGGCTTTGAATAAATTGAATGCTTGGGGTAACAAGTTTATCTATTTAGCAGGCAGATTCGTTCTCGCCAAAGCAACTCTTCTTTCTCGTTCTCGCCAAAGCAACTCTTCTTTCTCTTCCAAATTTTTATTTTACACATTATTTAATTCCTATGGGTTTATTGAATGATATTGATAAGATGTGCATAAATTTTATATGGCATAAACCAAAAGGTAATCATGGGCTTCATTTTGTAGCTTGGAATGTATTTTGTAATGCAAAAAATAGGGGCAGTTGTGGTCTTCATTCAGCAGTTGCTAAACTGGGTCCATTGCGTGCTAAATTGGCATGGAATTTTATTATAAATCCTAGTTCTCTTCTCAACAGAAATATGGTTGCGAAATATGGTAGAGATGATTGGGATCCAGTTATGAAGAGAGGGTGTTCTTCTACTTGAAAAATCAATTTGAATGGAGCTAAATTTCTTTAGCCAATTATGAGATGGAAAATTTCTACTGGTTTATCTATAAATACTTTTAAAGATGTATGGACTCTTGATAGGAGTATTGATAGATGGCCTATATTTGTGGATAATTATGTTAATATGGATATATTAGTTGATAAATTTATAGCAGATGGCGAATGGAAGGTGGAGAACTAAAAAATTGTTTGGTAAACAGTTGGTGAATGTAATTCAGCAAATTCAGATATTTCCTGAATTAGTGACAGATCAATTGGAACTTAAAATGAAGATATAGGGTAGATCGATTACTGCTTTGGCTCATGATGCTTCGTTTGAAGTAGAAATAGAAGAAAACTACTAGGAGTGGTTCAAGAAAATCATGTTAAAACCTCAAGTAGAGGTTTTCTGGTGGCGTATTTTTCTAAAGGCAATTCCTACTAATGAGTTTCTTATATACAGGATATTATTTGATAACAATGCTTGTCCTAGAGGGTGCCAATCTATTGATTGAGAGTAGATTATAAGAGAGAGATGGAACATGTCGAATAGATGGTAGGATGAGATTACGTGTTCGAGTTGGTAGAATACCTCAACCAGAAAGAGAAATCGAAAGGGAGCTTCCGTTGCCGACTGTAATGCGATCAATACCATTGTATGGTTTGGGGCCGAGGAGGTTGTCAAGGTGAGGAGTAAGATGTGATGATGCTATGGAGTCAAGATATCAGTCAATAAAATGTATAGGAGAAGCTACGAGCGTAGTGGGATTTTGAGGTATGTAGTTTGGATTCATTCGGTGCAAACAGGTAGGAGAGTAGTGACCATGTTTGCCACATATTTGGCATGTGATCAGAGAGGAGTTTGGACATTTTGTTGTCGGAGAGGTGGTGGAGCGTTGTATAGGAGGTTGGTTGCAACCTCTGCCTCAATACCTCTTTCCCTAGAAATGTAAAGAGCGAATTGCAGTTCTGGTGGTGGATGATATTTGGTGGATTCTTCCGCAATGTTGATTTCCCATTGATTAGTACAGAATAGAGGTCTTCCAGGCTTATGGGAGTGAGCTTGGTTCGGATAGATGTCTTGAAAGCCTGATATTGAGGTGGTAAACCGTTCAAATGTAGAGGATAATATCTTTTGGATCAATGGAGGATCCGGCGACCGCAATGTATTCTACAAGTGTTTTGATGTCCGTGAGATACTGAGACATCGATAGAGTTTTCATCGAGATGTTATGAAGTTGATTCTTGAATTGTATGAATTTAGATTTGTTGGATGCTTGCAATCGACGTTTCACAGTGAGCCAGATTTCTCGACTTGACTCAAGGTGAAGAACATATAGGAGGATAGTTGCTGTGATCATAGTTTAAAATTGCGCAATCAGAAGCGCAATTCTGGGCAAAATCGCATCATTGCTTAAGCATTTTTTGCTCTTCGTGAGGCATACACCTCTTTCATTGTGAGGCACGCCTCTGAGGCTGAATTGTGCAATTCAGTGTGAGGTGCACGCCTCTAGTTACCAGGACCCACACACTTAAGTCTAAATGAATTAAGCTTTCTTCCTCCCCTCTCAAATCAGCCTACCTGAAACTGAGCAGACAAAAAAAAACCGCAGGCCAGCAACCCTCTTCCGCACAACGTCCGCTCGGCCTCCCTTCCTGCCGCCTCTCCCGCCAGCGCCGCCTCACTCCGGCGATCTTGAAGTGTCTAGCCGCCCTCTAGGAGAAGTCCACAATCGATTTTAGATATTTTTTTTAGTTCAACGAAAGATTTTTCAAGTGAAAGAAAATCTAGGGTTTTTTATTTTTTGAGATTTTTTGTTTATTTTTTGCATTTTCGCATTAGGAAACATGATTAAAGGCAAATACGTCATTGCGGCGTGACCCTTCTTGGAAATACAGTGTGCAAGTTGATGTAGGAGGCGGCGAGAAGACATGTGTATTTAAAATGCAATTTTTACAATAAGGTAGCAAAGGGAGGAGTAACTCGCATGAAGGAATACTTATCCGGCTCAGAACATAATGTAGCACCTTGTGCGAATGTTCCGGATAAGGTGAAGGAGGAAATTACATATTATATGAAAAAGAATACGACGGCCAAACATTTACAACATGAGTAATTTGATGAAATGGTCGAACATGGTGTTTACTTTGGTAACAAGAGTGGAAAGGGCTCTTCCTCCACTATACATAATAGTTCCAAGAAGGGTCATTGCATGGAACGACTAATACCGGACCAGACAGTCAGAGAGCTTGCAGATTTATAACTTGTTCTATTTCAGAATAGGGAGAGATTTTTTGGTCTGCAAGCAGCAAAATCAACTATTGCCAAATGGTCTCCAGGTATATTTATTTTTGTAAATGCATAACACTTTAATATGTTCTGATTATCATTTTTCTTGAAAATAGTTGAATGGTGGATCCAATTTGGTGATTCCACTCTTGAGTTATAGAGTTTTGCTGTTAGAGTTTTGGGTTTCACTTGTTCTTCTTATGGGTGTGAGCGAAACTGGAGTGTGTATAATCAAGTGCAAACAAAGAGAAGAAATCGACTTTCAACACTCAGAATGAACTCCCTTGTGTATATTATGCACAACAAGAGGTTGAGATATAGGAGGTTGAAGAACAAGGGGTTGAAGGATGATAAGGAACCATTGTTGTGTGATGATGTGGCATCTGATAATGAGTGGTTCATAGATGATGAGACAGATTTATCATTATCAGACCTGCAGCTAGAGGATCTAAGTGTGAATATCTTGAGGGGCAAAACAAACCAAGTGGGTACATCCACTAGTACCACACCACACACATCCACTAGTTCTACAGCACAACAACCAAATAAAGGTATTCCACAACTTCTTATATGCTATTAAATTATATTTATATCAAGTGGACAATTAACATGATAATGATCATTCTTATTGAACATGGACGATAAAAGTGAGTCACATTGAAGATGATGAAGATATGATATTCATAGATATAATTGGAGAAGAAGATTCCCTTGAAGACCTATTTAGTGATGGGACATGATTGGATTTTATATGTTCTTTCTTATTTGTACTTTGGGAGTTTTGATAGATTAATATTTTGTGGTTTTGTACTTTGGGAAATGATTTTATTGCATCTATTTTCTTACTTTCCACTAATTTCACTCGTCATTTAGATGTTTTTATTGTAACATAGAATCTTACTATTATTTACCTGTTAAAATTCTTAAATTCTCATTTACGTAATTCTTCGTCCGTGAGGCTTACGCCTCACACCGCCTCGAGGCTTACGCCTCGCCTCATAGACGAAAAATGCCTTGAGGCTTATTTACGCAATTTTAAATGTTGGTTGTGATGGTAGAGTCGAGAGAAACGAATTTTGGTTGAACAGTAGCTAGTGGTTGTATCCTGGGCTACTTTTGGAATAACCAGCAATTTCGATGTGCATGCGAGTAGGAATTGTGAGATTTTAGTCCATGTATTGAACGAAACCATTTGCACGAAAGAGCTTGAAGATTTTAGAACGACGAATAGGGTAGTTGTCGTTGGAGACTTGAGTTTGGACAATGTGTTTGATGTTAGAGATTACGAATTTGAGTGAGAAGGGTATTTGCGGTTCAGAGTTTGGGATTTCTACAGCTTGGTTGCCTGTTTGGGAGGTAGCAGATTGATCAATGTGTAAAGGGTTGACGTTAGGCTTGGTTGCCTGTTTGGGTGGTAGCAGATTGATCCATGTGTAAAGGGTTGACGTTAGGCTAGAAGAGGCTCTGATAACAATAAGATGAAGGACAGCATGCATAAGTGTGAGAGCTGAGAGTGGAAAGTTTCTGGGAAGAAGATAAAGCTGAACAAAGACTTTTATTTACATGAAGTTATTTCATTGTATTTCTTACCTTATTACACTTGCTGTAGCTTGTATATATAAGTGAAAAAGCTGCCTACATGTATGTGTTAACAGAGAAGATGGGTGTGGTTTATACGTGTAAGATAGAGATAAAATATTATGTTTGGAAACTAATGGTGCTGCTCCACTTCTTCTGAGAATGCAGGTGCCGTTAATAGATTGAAAAAATTGAAGCCATTATGCCAACAAGCCCTCTCCCTTCCCTTACCAAGACGAATAGCCAATAAAAAACACATCCGACCTCCAACAACTCCACAAGTGCGAAAGTAACAAAACCACGAAGATAACTGCCGGGTGAAGCAAAATTAGAGAAAAAAAAAGGACGCACCTTTGAGTAGGAGCCTGCGCCATACATCTTCCCGAGTTCAAAATCGTCAATCGTGAAATGCTCCTGCGGTGCACGGAACGTTATACTGTTGCTCCTTTGAACTGACCCCTGCTGCCCATGATTGTGCTGAAGCCGGAGCATAGTCTCAAAATCCTTCTCCATCTCCTCTCGTACTCCTTCACCAATTGCCATCATATTCTTCTTTATCCTTCACTATCTAAAATCATGTCCAATAAGTGCCCAGCCTCGGGGCAAACAAACGAGAGAAAAACTTCCTTCACAGAGAGCAGCATGAGCGGAGAAGAAATAATCCCTTCACGGCCCCCAACGAGTAGGGCGGTCAACGGGGAAACCACAAATCATCGGATTCCTCTTCTTCTTCCGATGAAAGCGAAGGAGAGAGAAGGGAGTGAAAAGCGAAGGGTCCTCCAACCCCTACCCCTCTCTTTCTCTCTCCCTCCCCTACTGCCAAAGGCTCAGACTTCGCCTTTAGCTCAGAATCTTTTACTGCGCCCCCAACAAAAGCGGAGCAAGAGAAGACTAAGCGAATCGCATCAAAATGGCTCCGTAATTCTGCTCGGTGCAAAGAGATGAAAGACTCTAGTCGATGGGGGGCATGAGCGATGGAGATCGAGACGCAGTGGCACATGCCATGCAATGATGCGGGCCTTCTTTTTATTTCTTTTCTCTCTAGAAATTATTTGGTCCATGCAGCTGTTCATTTGGATTTCAATTAAATTTAAACACAGAGATTGGAAACTTGAATATTCAATTAAATTTTACTTTTTATTTATTATCTTGTCCAACAGACCAACCCGACTTGGTCCAAAGTGTTTTTCCAGTTTAAAATTAAGTTTAAGGTTGGGCTCCATTCAAAGAAAAAATCCGCAAAAGTTCTCAAATATTTAGGACTTTTACATAACTTTTTATACCTTCAAAGAAAGGAAAAATTAGAAACAGTCAGATGAATATTGATGAGAACATTGCATTCTTCGTAAAGATGGCATGCTCATATGGCGCGGAGGCTGAAACTAGGTATTTAGATGTCCAGGAAGCAGAAGTTAATTTGGTTAAAGCTGCTACATGTTTCAACTATTCGGTATTTTTTTTTTTCTTTGGTAAAAATTCACAAAGGGGCCTATGCGTTAATATCAAAAAAAATAGTTACATGTCCTAAGGGGATTGCTAGCTCGCTACAGCACAAAAGAGCTACAAATGAAAAAGCAAAAAAACTAATAGCCGGCGATCCCCACTAAGCACAAATACACAAGGACCTAGTAACTTGCTAAAAATAAAAAAGGAAGAGGCAAAGGAATCCACATTCAGCTCAGCCTTGCCAGTCAAAAAGGGACTCTGCAAAAAACGAGCACTAGTCTCTAAAACCTGTAAAAAAATATCTGGAGGGACACTAAAGAAAGCAATTAACAAAAGACAAAATATAATAACACAAAATCAAAATTCACCAAGGGAATAAATTAAACTACCAACTCAAATAGAATTATGCTGCTTGAAATTATAAGACTTACTATTGCAACTGAACTAAGTGTCAACCAGATGGAACACAACAATAGCCAGATTAGATAAATAATTAAGACATCAATATACATCAACTAAAATCTGATCTATTAAAGCCAAGAAGCAAAAACAATAAGACTGCTTAAAACAACCCAGAAAAGGGGCACCAACCAATTCATTAAAAAAGCAAAACCAAAGGACCCGGCTCAAAAGAAACCCACCAAACCATTCCATCTCGTAAAACCCAAACAGGGGTACATGCCGATAGAGCTCAGGATAAAACGAAACCAGCAATCATCACTTGGGTATACCAAATGCTACTCAATCCTACCTCTAAACTCACTCAGCCACACCCTGTCATTCAGCCCAGAACTGCAGTAAAAATGGAACACAAAGAGAGAATATAGAACCCCCACATACCAACAAAGGAACTCCTGGACAGAGAACCAATCCAACACAAATGAAAAGTCAAAAGGTACATAAGCCACCAGCTGAACCCCCAACATGGTCCAAAGCAACACCAACAGTCATAAGCAAAAAACTTAGATAACCGGAGAGGCCCCAGGAACCAAACCAGACAACCATATGAAACCTAGCATCCCCACAACAACAAAAACCCAAAATAGAACCAAAACAAAAAAAGTGAATATATCCCCAGTCCCCATTATTGCTCCCAAAGATACCCACGGCCATAAGACACAGCCAATACCAGGTCTCACAATAGCACCTGAAGATAAGAGAGCAACAAATAGAAAAACTGTCAACAAATGAACCGGTGCAATCACAGCTCAAGCCCATAACCACAAAACTCTTAGCTAAGAAGTATAAAAACACAAAAAGAAACCAACAGCAGGTCAAAAACACCAAAACAAAAACCAACCAAATAAAATCATCCCCCAAACCAAAAGAAACAAGAGTTAGACACTCCAGCTAGTAAAACACCTTAAATTCTAACATAGGGAAGACCAGTTTTATCCAATATTAACAAACCTTTTAAAGGAACAGGGAGGTTAGGAATAGAGAATTCTAAAAAACCATCCAATTAACAACTCAAATTAGTAAGCCACTTAGCACAAGCATTCCCCTCCTAATACAAATGAGAGAAGGAATAGTTCATAAAGATCAATAATTGTTTTATATCTCTCACTAAATAAAAAAAGATCAAAATTGTGCACATTATCATCAACATTATTTAAACATTGAAAACTATAATTGGAATCAACTTTAATACCAATGTTAGAAATGTAAAGAGAAATACATAATCTAATCCCATGAAGAATAGCCGAGAGAATAGCAATGTTCATGTCACATCTTTGTAAGGGACCTGAAAAAGCAATAATAAAATTCCCATTAATGTCCCTAATAACCCCACCACACCCAGATGTGGATCCAGAGACCACACCATCAACATTCAGCTCATAAAAATTATTAGGGGGTTTGAGCCAATAAAAACACCTCAGTTCAGTAGAAGGATGGTCATCCTCCAACCTGATACCAAAATCAACAGCCACAAAAGAATAATTCTTAAAATTCTTAATCGAGATAAGATTAACAGAAAAAAGATCCCTCGCCTTATCTTTCACATTTTTAATAATCCTATGATGGTTCATACCAATACCATTAAAAAGAGAATTATTTCTATCCAAACATAAATACCATAAAATAAGAGGAGGAATAACATTTCTAATATGGCATTTATACTTAATAACCCAAGATTTAAGCATATCATTAATAGATAATTTAGCATTGAAGCAATTTAATTTAAAAAGATCATCAAAATAAGTCCAAGTTTTAACAGCTACAGGCCCAAAGATAAAAACATGATGTATATTCTCCACATGATAACAATATTGGCACATGAACGACAAAATAAAACCTCTTTTAATTTAGTTATCATCCATAGGAATAAATTTATGCAAAATTCTCTAGACACAAATAGCTACAATAGAAGGAATACTTTTATGTCAAAGCATAGAAAAAATATTAGTAACCTCCTTCTTAGATCTAATGGCATGTCAAGCCTCCTTTAATCTAAAGCCACCATCATTAAAAAAATCACATAAAATTAAATCACCAGAGTCATTGTTCAGGAGTAGATTCAAAATTTGTTGAATAATAGAGATAAGAATAACATTAGCTTGTTTCTCATAGTCCCAATAATTATTCGTAATGAAAAAATTCACCTTAACATCTGTCATGGAAGAAGTGTTAATAATGGAATCAATAGAGTGAGCACCCAACCAACGATCTTGTCAAAAGAAAATATCTCCACCAACAAGCCCCAAAGAGATAAAAGGCTTAATAGCCCATTTAACTTTGCAAAGTCTCTGCCACACTTTAGAATCACCTTTGTTAAAAAAACAAGTAGTTGGATGCTTACCCATACAATGCTTAGCAAACATAAAATTAGCCCAAAGGCTCACTTTAGCACAAAAGTTGTACCACAACTTGCAGGAAAAAGCATAGGTCAAATCATTCATACTCTTACACCCTAAAACACCCTCTTCCAACACACCACAACACCTGTCCTAAGAGGGCCATATAATTTTAGAATTGCTACTAGCCCCTTTCCAAAAAAGTTTATTGAAAAGTTTATCAATTCTATTGCAAACTGTCTAAGTAGGAAGAAGAGTTTGAAAAGTATAATCAGGCAAAGAACAAAGAACACTTCTGATGAGAATTAATCTACCCCAAAAACTCTGAAAATTAGAATCCCAAGACATAAGTTTATTCTGCACATAAGTAATTAAATCATCAAAAAGAAAAGTTTTCTTTCTACCATTAAAAAGAGGTACCCCAAGATACTTAATAGACATATGACCAAGCACAAAACCAGTTAAACATTTAATAACTAAAATATGATAATTAGAAACTTGCTTGGAGGTAATAAAGCAACACTTGTGCTTATTCAGAGATAGACCACTAACCATTTCAAAGTGATGAAAAAAATTCATAAGTTTATTAATCCTATTAACAGAAGTATTCGTAAAAATAATAAAATCAGAAGCAAAACATAAGTGAGAGATAGGAAATCCACCCAAAGATTTAAAATAAAGTCTAGACAAATTCTCAAAAAAGTTGGCAAGGCCTCTAGATAAGTATTCAGCACCAATAATGAAGAGGACATAAGAGATCAGATCATCGTATCCTAAACCATGAGATGATTTAAAAAAACTATTGCATTTATATTGTTAGCTGGCTCCCCAATCTATGCCGGGATAAGTCCAAATTTGCACTGTATTAGCTAGGTTTATGCCACTATCGTTTAGTGCCCAATTATACTTAGGATCAACGGTAGACTCAAAATCATAAGTTCACACATTCTGTGAATATAATTTTTACTTTTTAATAAATTGATAACTCAAATTAAAATTTTCTCAAAACCAAAATTTAAAGCCCAACACATAGGGTAGACTAATATATTTCTGAATTATTTTAGAATACAAAAATGACTCATACTTCTCCTCCATTGACCTCCAGAAATAAGTATTCAAAATTTGATCCAATCCAAGTTGAAATTCTAGCCTAACTCCTTTAATATCAATCTTTCAAAATCTTAAAAATAAAATTTTGCCATTATTTTAATCGATAATTTTCATAGGAAACTCATGTTTCATATGATGTAATTAACTATGAGGGCTTGCACTCATAGGATATTTAAAGTAGGAGATTTAAAGACCTCATATCAATTTTCAAATTCAATTAAATATCTTTGGGAAAATTAAAATCAATTACGATCGTTATCGTTATATTTGAATAATTGATAAGGGATGATATTTTCTTCCCTTGGGAAGACATATCCTTTGCTATCATGATCTCGAATATAAAATTAACGACGACACATTCAGATTATCATAGCTAAATATTTGATTGAATATTAGGGGTGTCAGTTTTGACATGACATGAATCCCAACCCTCAAATGGGTCGGGTTCGAGTTAGTAATTTTGACCCATTTATAAAATCAGGTCGCATTCAGGTTGACCCGGAAAACTGAAACTAACTTGCCTTGACCCATTTTCAACATCTCGTATGAAGTGAAACCCGTCTCGTCGCGTCAATACCTAGGCGCATTATCGCATCACTACGTCCATGCATCTTCTCTCTATGTCTGGTCGTGTCACGGCGTCAGGCGTCATGAGTGGTTTGAGTCTACCGGAGGCAGGAAGGTTCATCGATCACCAGCTCACCGTGTCTACTAAGATCGAGTCAGTGACTGGTTGCGTCACCGCGTCTACCATTGGCCGAACATAGCCTTCCTGTGCGGGAAGGGTCATTGCTCACTCTCTTGGGTGCATATTGCTTTTTCTGTCGCTGTCTTGTGACTCCCGCCAGCACAGGCGTTGCCGCTGTCACCGTCCAGCCCATCCACCCTACAAGCGATGCCGTGCCGCCGTCCCGGTCCTGCCCGAAGATGTGTGCGTGATTTCTAGCTCGTTGGTGGGGTTGGGTCAACCCGGTAACCCGAACAGGTCGGGTCTGGGTTGACAAACCTGACCCGTTTGCAAAACCGGATCGGGTTAGTGTCAACCCGTTTACGGCCGAGTCATGTCGGGTTCGATCCGAACCCAACCCGCTGACCCAAATTGACACCCCTCGAATATTATTTTGACCCTTTGGGGTCATATATAGTTCATCCATGAATTTGGCTATGATATTTAGGAAGAAATTTAAAATTTTAAATCTAAACCCATTAAGAAATCTTGTTTTCATCTCTCGAGGTGGTATATGATTTCTGATGGTATGTTCATTTTTGGAATAAAAATTCAAAAAGTCAAATTCAAAAAAAAAAAAAAAGAAGTTCTAATTTGCTCTATATCTTTCCAATGCAAAATAATTCCGTTTTCAAACTCAAGAAACAAACATCAAGAAATGAGAATATTGAAGTGGTTGAGAAGTTCTTTAGAAAAAGATAATGACAACGTGAGTAAAGCCTTAGAGCTCCCCTCACATTTATAGATGATCATCGGCGCTGATGTGAACACCAATCAAATCAATGCATTTATTAAAGTGGTAATTTTGCATCTTTTTTAACAAGAAAACTCATGAGGACAACGGATTCCATGCATTTTCTAACTCTTAATAAAATGAAAATATTATTTAATTATCTTGTTCTTTTTATAAGTTGCTTTATAAAAGATATAGGAAAATCATCAAACTACATGCACATTAAAAAATTCTACTTGTTTTGCTCAAGTAGAATTGATAGATTCATGGCAATTCGATGAAACAAGAAGAATGAAGGCACTAAATTCTCTTGGGACACAATGAACTCACCAAGTTCGTAATGAAACCCTAGGCTCATTATGATCATATTAGTCATAATGAACTCACCAAAGTATATTCATATGTTCAATTAACAACTTCGACAAGTAACTATCCACGTGTATTTCTATACATTTTCTACACCGTTCACATATCTTGTTGTCAAAGGGGAACTTTTATTCGGTCCAGTGAACGTACGCTCCTCTACGTTCAGCCACCAATGTTTTAGCGCCACGTAGCATGAAGAAAAGACGCCGACCCGACCCGCTGTTTTTTGGGTTCTCGCATGTTTTTGTGTTGAGTTAATATAAACTTTATAAACAAGATTTTATTATCCCTCAAGGCAATTCTGAATCTAATATCCATCGAAGATAATTCTGAATCCAACAAAAATGCAATAAAAAGTTAGTATGATGGTATCCGTAGTCTCCCACAGGATCTGAGGAGGAATTTGTTGTCGCGGGATTTGTCTGATTTTTACTAAATTTAAATTCTCAAGAAATAACTATTATGATTTACTGCATAAATAGTTTATTGAATAAAATATCAATTAAAAAAATTAAATAAAATTTATACCCGTTTACCTCTAATACTGTGCACTCCAATCCGCCCATATATTTTTTTTTTTTTGGAGTAGACTGTTTCACAGTCGGAAAGGACGCGGAACGCACAAGGGGCAGGATGGCATGCTAGAGAATACTTTTATTAGGGTTGGTGCCCGCACGCGGGGACGACAATGGATTCACCTCCGGAGAACGACGTCTGCTCGGTATGCCACGAGAGATTCACGCTGCCATGCCAGGCGAACTGCTCCCATTGGTTCTGCGGTACTTTCTTCAACCAGAATCTTTGTTCGGTTCGGATTTCGGACCCCTTTTCGTCCTAGCACGGTTTTATTGATTTTTAGCGCTGATGGGCGAGGGGAGAGTTTTGCTTGCAGTTTTATTGTTTTCTTCGTTTTCAATGTGTCTTTGAATGTAAATTCAGATGTTTTTTAGTTGCTGATTGAACCTGGAAGGACGGCAAATGATCGTGGAGATCGGGTTGACCTTGGTCAACTTGGGTGATTTTGTTTTCTTCCTTGTACCTTGCTTTTTGGGGTAAAAATGTAGGGAACGGGAATCAGTTGGTATCAATGCTGTGTCTGATCCAGGTTTGCAATCACAATAACTGGCTGCAGAGGTTTTGTGATGATTGATGGAATTTATAGAGTAAAATTTGAACAAGTATGGGCTGTTTGCTTGGAATTATTTAGAATTCAAGGGTTTTCTAAATTCAGCATAAATTAAATGTAGTCTATTTAAAATTTAGGAGTTCAATTTTTTATATTTGATTGGAACTAATAAAAATGGGAATTAAAAATAAAAAAAAAAACTTAAGTGCCGGTACACTGCACTTCCTTAAATCGGCAAATTATTGGGTCAGGTGACCGAATGCAGAGATAGGTCCGGATATTAATAAAATATTATTTTAAAAATATCGCAAGTAAAGCGCAGGTAAAACGCAACTAAAGCGCAGGTAAAGCGCAACTAAAGCGCAAGTCAAAAAGCGCAGGTAAAGCGCAACTAAAGCGCAACTAAAGCGCAAGTAAAAAAGCGCAACTAAAGCGCAAGGTGACGTGGCAAATTTTTATTGGATGTCCGAACTTATCTTTTGCCTCCGGTCACCTGACCCAATAATTTGCCCCTTAAATCATCTATAGGTGAGGAAATTGCAACAGGAGCTTGCTTTGACAGGACCAATGATGTGTGAAGTTGGTGAGGAAATAGTGAAGGGATCTTGGAAGCTTATTGAAGAAAATATTGATTGGGCTGATGATGTGGAACATATTTGCTAAATAGAGCTTAGCTCTAGTGTATCTTTAATATTCTAGAATGTTTTATTTGCTTTATAAATAGTTAAGGCTAGGTGTAAGGATGAGATGATAAATATTATATCCCTTTGAAGCTTTGAGCTTGTATTTAGTTCCCTTGATTGTGTGTTCCTTCTTTGCATCCCAATCTTCCATCGATTACCCACATCAGTTGGTACCAAAGTCTGGAGCTTGTGAATAATGATGGATTGCCAAATAATATAGGTTGTTGACAATGATCGAAGTTGAAGAAGATGAGCTGTTTAAGACGATCGAAGAAAAAGAAGATGGATTGTCGACGACGATCGATGCGGAAGAAGATGGGTTGTCGACGACAATGATCAAAGCCATCAATCCTTTCATGCAGCTCAGGTGATTGCTTAACTTGATCGAATAGATGATTTATGTGCCAAATTCTTTTGTCTGGTGGAGAGAACAGGCAGGTTGGCAACCATACCTGCGCAACCGACACCCTGCTCCAACTGTATTCTGCTTCAGCTTTGCCTCTCGACTAGACACGCGATCCCGATCGGCTCCAGCACGATTCAGCCTCAGCTTCGCCTCGCGAGCATGCCTGCAATCCCGATATGCTCCAACGTGATTCTTCCTCCGCTTTCCCTCGTGACCAGACCCACGATCCTTATTCTCTTCGGCGTGATACCACCTCAGCTTCCTCTTGCGACTAGATCTGCGATCCCGAACAATGCCCACACCCCCACTTCGCTTCCACTCCTGTGGGCATCACCCGAGCCTGTCAGCTAGCTTCAATAATGTGACCATGACCCAGGCACGTCCGTGCAACCCGGGCCCCGATTTCGTTTCCCGCATCCTTTGCCTGAACTCCCAATCCCATTGGCTGCAATCCCGTGTCCGACATCCAACCCGATTCCGCGCTTGAACTCCCATCTCGACACCCATCCTTGACATAATCCTTGTGCCAATGCACGATTGGAGTCCCAACTCATTCCACTCCGCTCTCGCCATCCCACTATGTCAGAGGAGGTATGGGTTTTATATATAGAAATGTTCCGGTTGAGGATCTCATCAATGATTGTCACGTGCAATATAATGATTAATGTGCTGTGTAAAGAAGGAAAATTGAATAAGGCAGATGCTTTTATGATATTCATGGAGGAGTCTGGGATCAAGCCAAGTTCTGTGACTTATAATACTACAATTCAGTGGTATTGCCTAAGAGAAGGGAGGCTTGAGGATGTTTTCTGCATTGCTTGGAAAGATGGAAGGTAAAGGATTGGCTGTGACTGCTGTTAGTTTTAATGCTGCGATTTCTGGTTATTGTAATGAAGGAGAGTTAAATGTTGCATTTCATTTCGTGGATGAGATGGTAAGGAAGGGAATCGAACCTTCTACTACCACTTACAATTTGCTTGTGCTTGCATTATTTATGGAGGGGAGGGATGTTGAAGCAAATGCCCTGATCAAGGATATGGGATAGAAGGGGATGTCACCTGATGCAATCACCTATAACATTCTAATCAATGGATATTCAAAGGATGACAATGTAAATAAGGCATTTGACTTGTTTGAAGAAATGTCAAGGAAGCGAGTGAAATCCAATAAGGTTCACCTACACTTCTTTAATTAATTTCCTTTGCAAGAGGAATAAGGTGGTTGAGGTTGACAAAATGTTCAGGGACATGGTAAATAACAAGGGCTTTCCCCCTGATCTTATGATCTACAATGTCATGATTGATGGCCACTCCAGTGATGGGAACTTTAAAAGTACTTATGAAATTTTGAAAGAAATGGTGAAGAAGAAAATCCATCATGATGTCACGTACAATTATCTGATGAGAGGCCTATGCTTGTTGGGGAAAGCAAAGGAAGCTCGTGCACTTCTCGATGAGATGCATAGACGAGGAATCAAGCTTGACCTTGTAAGTTACAATACCATAATTAGTGGTTATACCAGGAAGAGTGAGATGAAGGATACCTTTTATGTTTGGAATGAGATGTTGGAAAAGGGATTAGACCCGACAATTCTAACATATAATGCTCTTATTCAACGACTTTGTAAAAATGGGGAAGGTGATCAAGCCAATGTTCTTATTAGAGTAGTGGATGTATATGGGAACTTGGTTTTTTTTGAATTGCCAATGGTACAATCTTTGGGGACATTTGGCAGAGGTGGACCCATTCCAGGGGTTGGTGTAGGTTGGGGTTCACCTGATGGAAGCTTTTGGTCATTAAACATCTCTCAGGCACAAGAAGATGCTCGGATGGTCTTGGAATTATTCAAACCTTACTAAAGAGATCCCAATGTGTAGAAGCTATGAATCCAAAATTTGGAAAATCTCCCAATTCAATGAACCTTGCTTTATATAGATTAAATTGTATTCTTGCAGTTTGTTTGGTTACATGAGATTGAGAACCTTCAAAATCTTCGATCCAGGAGGGTTACCTATGTTTTCTACACCTCCCTCTCTCCCATTGACGCGTCCCGACGGAGTCGAACTCTTCTAATGCAAGCGATGTATGACGTGGAACATATTAGTTAAAATAGAGCTTAGGTCTAGTATATCTTTAATATTCTAGAATGTTCTATTTTCTTTATACATAGCTAAGACTAGGTGTAAGGAGGAGATGATAAGTATTATATCCCTTTGAAGCTCTGAGCTATTATTTGGATCCCTTGTTTGTGTGTTCCTTCTTTGCATCCCAATCTTCCATCAATTACCCACATCAGCTGATGACTTTTAAGTGAGGTGCGGAAATTTTGATGGAGCTTTCTATGGAAGGTATTGAACGGACTAGCAATTTGTTAAGCAAGTGAGGAAATCATGAAAAGATCTTGAGAACTCACAAGGGAAGGTATCAACTGGACTGGCGGCATTTGAAGTTGAAGAGATCGTGATGAGAGCTCATATGGGTAATAGATGCTTTATATTTTGAAATCGCCTGAATTTGGTGATTTCAAAATACAACAAAAATGAAGTAAATGAGGAGTTTCAAATTTCTCCAAAACGTATTTTTTATTTACTTTACCTACAACCAAATACTAAAAAATTTTAAATCCTTGCATTTAAAATACTTTGCACTTAAAATCCTTCAAACCAAATAACCTGTAATTTAATTGGCACAATTTACTTTTCCCTTAGTTAAATTCTCAATAATTGAAAACTTCTACATTTAAAATAATTTACACTCAAAATCCTTCAAACCAAATAACCTCTAAGTTAATTGGCCTTTTCAAGCCTCAAAAATCATGGGGAAGAATTGGCATAACTGATTTTATAAATTCATTGGCTATATCCAACCACAGAACCATAAACAATAAAAGAAAATTATGTCAGATTTATCATAACATTGTCATTGACTTAAAAACTAAAGAATAGTCATCCTTGTCACTTTAAGCTTATAGATTTTGCACATGCTGAAGAAATCCAAGATCTTTCTCCTTATCCTCTAGTTGACATGATGTCGGTTGTCTACTTGACATACAAACCGATATGATGCCAGATAGATCCAACATTTCTATTATATCTATAAAGATATAATTGCTTTGATTACTGATAATATATACCTCGGCCCAGAGGCCTTCCATTTTCAAAGTTTGGATGCCTAACAAAGGATGGACTACTCTTTTCTTTTTCTTCCAGACAGTTTATTCTTCTAATGCAAGCCACTACCTCCTCATCACCGATGCCTTATCCCAATTGCTTGGCTAGTTATGGAAATCTTCATTTTCCATACAAACCACTACCTAAACACCTAAAATGTATAAATTGCACATAGATTGATAGAAAAGAATGTACTGTGGTTGTGGCAAGGAAGTGTCTAGGTTGAAATCACTTAGATGAGCTTCTGAAATTAAAATTTTAATGCTTTGAGAATGCAAAATGTTATATACATGTATATTTCCAACATAAAAGTAATTAGGTGTGTTTTCAGCTGGTAGTATCATCATGTATATCTCAATTGAATATAATGATATCTTAAAGATAATAAAGATGTCTTAAAAAGAATAAAGATGGCTATTTTATTGAAATTTATGTGCATACTAACTCTTCTGTTACTTTCTTGATCGCATCTTTTCTCCATAAAAAAATTGAGTTTTATTTATTCTCTAACCTATTTTTATATTTTAGGTTGCATTACTTTCGTGTATATATGTCTTATATAAGTTCATTAAGCTTTGTTTCACTATCACTGGCCGATTTATCTTAATGGCCATGGTTGAAGAAATGTATACTCCGTGATTACTTTGCAATAAGTAATTGTTATGTTGATCCACTTATTATCTTTATTGCTTTACTGCTATATTAGTGATTATGTTTTTTTTGGGAGAAGAAAAAAAAGCATGATACTTATCTACTTTTGTTTATTCTGCTTTTAATTTCAGGGAGTTGCATAATGCGTGTATGGCATCATGGATCTGCCCTTCGACCATGCAAATGTCCCATATGTCGTCGTCTTATAACTTTGTTGATACCTACTGAGACCTCACAGAGTCAACGCCATGAGCCAGCAGCTAGCCAAATTTTGGAGAACATTGAGAAATATAATCGATCATTTGGTGGTGGTTCACACAGCATCATGCAGGTTTTTTACCTAAGTAATTTTTTATGTTGACCAATAGTTTTCTTTTTTGTTTGGATTGAAGTTCTTTTTCCAACGACTGATTTTATGTTGAAGTTGTCTTATAAAGTTTTATGTGTGGTTGGTATCTATAGAAACTCATTACATGCAAAAATATATGCCTTTATATTGACGGGATTTTGGTTATAAGAATTTCAACGTATGTTGGGCTCCTAATTCTCTCTTTATTTAGCATATATTTTAAAAACATTGCCTTCTACAACCTTCTTAACTTCTCTTAGATTTCCTTGTGCTACTTTTTTGCTTCTTCTATACCTTTATAAACCTTGACCAACGTTTCTTCTCCCACATTTACCTTCCACCACACCATTTGACTTCAAGTTTTTATTTATTAGTGCCACTGATTGACACTTGTGAGCTCTATGCTGGATGTTTTTATTTATTTTTGCCAGGCTTTTATATTTATTTCACCACCCTGAATCTGCAAAAGAAAAAAAAATCTACCAAGCAAATGTTATTTTGTATTAGGGGAATGGTATGGTAGGAGCACTTTAGGTATCAAAGCTCCATTCGGGATCATTGGGTAAACTTTTGCTTTCGCCTCTGCATGCATGTTCTGATGGGGACATCAGAGCGTGGAGAGTCTATCAGAGACGTGGCCGTCAATCTACGACCACGATTGAGTCGATGTATTTCTGAGTTGTATTATTTATTTTATTATTATTATGTCATGTTGTATTTGCTTTATTAATATTTCCCATAGTTGTTAATGGCGCAAAATAGCGCGCGCTATAGCGCACGGCGTGGCGCGCACTACAAAATTGGAAATTCTGTTTTGTTGATCCATGTGAATTAATGGTTTGAGCAACAAAGGTACTTGAAAGCGAAGGTGAGGTAACATCAATATTTGTAGTCTATGCCATTTGTCTTTAAAAATTTATTGAAAAGATTTGTTACTTAAATATTTTTAGTGTCCTATGCAACTTCTCAAATCTCATTATCTATATTATTTTATAATTTTTGTATAGTTTGCGTCATGTTCAAAAAGGCGCGCGCCGCGCTGTGCGCTATGCACCATGGCTCTAAAGGGTCCTTTGCGCCGTGGTGTGCCATTCGCCGTTAACAGGTATGGTGTTTCCGTTTTTACCCCTTAAGGGAGTTCGTATGTAAGCCCAGTGGGCGTTGTCGTCTTTTATTTTCTTGAGTCTTTGTACGAGGCTATATATAGCCCCATTGTTCTCTTTTCATGTTAACGATTGAATGATAAAAATTTTCCACATGTTTTGAGTTCTTATGATTGCTTGAGTGAGATCGGAGTGAGATTCCTAGTAGAAGGAGAATTGTGCATTGCCCACCAACCTAGAAGAGTCGGGTTCGTGGTCTTAATTTCTATCTCTTCCCTTTTCTCCTCCCACCACCACCGTCGGCCCTATCTCCTCCCTCCCCCACCCCCTGTCCGAACCTAGAACCATCGGCCCTCCACCCTCACCGAACCCCTGCTTCCCCTTCACCCCACCAAAATCCCACACAAAGCCCCACCACCCGCCGACCCTATTCCCCTCCTCTCTTCCTCCAAAATTCAAATCTCCGCCTTGTGCACCCTCCATAAATAATCCCCCCTTAATTTGGGAATGCTTAGTTTCAAATTTCAAATTAATTTGAATTTGAATTTTCTTTCCTAACTTAGGAAATCTATTTTAGGAAAGTTCCTAAATTAAACCAATTTGAATTTCAAATTCAAATTGGATTTAATTAAAACCTTTCCTAAATCCTAAACCCAAATTAAGAAGCTTTAATTCCCCTCCATTAATTCCAATTAACTCCCCATTGCCACCGGCCCCTATAGGTGGGATTTGGGAAATTTATTTCCTAAATCCCCATCTCCCCTCTTGGAAAGATTTCAAAATCTCTCATCCCTCCTTAGCCGAAAATCCCTAGCCCCGCCTCCTTAAGTTATTTCCAATTGAAGAGGTTCTTCATTGGAAATAAATCAATCCCATCCCACTCTTCATGCCCCCCCCAACCCCCTCTCTTTTCTCTCTTCCTTTAATTATTCTGAATCAAGAGGATAATTAGGAAGTGTTTGAATTAGAATTCTCTCCACCTCCTCTCCCAAGAACTGAACCAAAACTCTCACTCTTATTCTCATCATTGGCCGGCCACCTCCTTCCCATTTCCCCTCTTGACTTCTCAAGATTATCTCCTCCCTCTCAAAAGGAGTCTTCAAGGGGAGCATCGACGATCGTCTTCAACATCTCAACCTTCAAAGACCATGCATGGACGATCCAAATCTTCATTATGGTCTCGCCTACAATGAACAAGAGTTTGTTAGCATCCTTCACTCTACCTTGTTCGACGTCAATCCGAACATTGACAACACCGTCGAAGAGTATGTAGAGTGTGTTCTGGACACCCTTGTCGAGGCCATAGAAGAACAACTTGGCACCGTTCAGTGGAGGATTTCAACCCAACCGTGATAAAGGTTTACCAATCTTCCTTCTCTCGTATTCTTATCGTCTAACTTGTTATTGTGGTTTGATAGATTCATGAAGATCTTGTTCTTCTATTTCTGCCAAGCCTAGTAAACGTAGGACTTGAGTTTGATCTCTATGTTTCTAATATCATTGTTAGCGTAGGGATTTTGTCTGAAAACTGTTTAATTCACATTTTATTGATATTCTATGTTATTTTGATAAATCTAGCATGTGGCAAGTAGCCTAGCCTAAGCGTAGGCACCCCTTTTTCGTTTTATTTTATCGTTTTAATTTGCTAATAGCTTTAATCATACTTGCTCTTATCAAGGAATCGTGCAAATTCTTATTGCATCCATTAAAAGCATCTTAGTCCTACATCAGGTTCTCATCTCAAATCTTGTGTCTGGTCTTTGGTTCTGATTCTTATTTGGAAGTGCCAAAAGGTGTCTTTAGTGGCCATTATGTAATCTTTATGTTTTACCATCTAGAAGTTCTTTGTTAAACTGGTCAGATAAGGTGGGGAAGTCATTACACTGACTTTTCATGCTTCCACAACAAACAAATAGCACAATATGATTCGATTGAGGAGTTTAGCCAAGCCCTGTTACTATCATTTTATATTTTTTGATCATGAAACGGTTTTTTAGATATTTTCTTGTATTCGAAATTTATTAGTGGGGAGTACAGAAGCAATGCAGGTGGTAGTTTGTATCCTCACACTGGATTAGGATGCACTCACTAGCATTGCTGCTGTATTTGTGTAATAAACCCTCTTCAAAATCAGTTAAAAAATTTTATCCTTTGATGGGAACTTAGTCTACGTTATTATCATCATTGTCAATAGCATTACCTTGACCGTTTGGGGTCAGCATCTTCATTTTTTATTTATTCATGTTTAGTGTTTTTTGAATTGTTAAACCTATTATTTGCGAGTCGTTTTGAACGGCTGCTATTTATGCAATCTTTGGTCTACCCTTTTTCCTTTTTAATTATATTATGCTAACTTTAATTTCTCTCCTAATAGGGGCATTTTTATTCTTTGTTTTACACATCCAACCCATCCAATTTATTTTTTTAGTCACCTTATCGTCAAAAGATGTTACTCATGTCTTTCTTATAATATAATCATTTATTAATTTATCTTTCCTAAATTCTCTGCATACCCTCTTATTGTTCTCATTTTTACCACTCTCAACTAAAATATGAATGATTTACTTACAACTCCACAATCGGATCCATAAATTATTGCCACCTCAATCATGGTTTTATAAAATTTATCTTTACACCTCTAAATGCCCACTTTTTACACAAAAAACTTAATACACATCTCCATGTTGCCCGTTGAGTCTTAAGTCTAAATGTTATATTTTTCATCTATATATTTTTTTTCTTATATAATAATTCCAAAGTACTTAAATTTTATTACTCCTAAGTACCATCTTATCTTCTAATAATATTTAATGATAAATTTTAACTTAATATGACTAAAATTGCATTTAAAAAATATTTATTTACCAATTAATTATAAATTCTCTCATAACCCTCCACATAGTAGCTGTCTCATCTGCACCAAAATAAACTCTTACACATATTTTCAAACCCAACTCCACTTCATTTTTTCTAGTTTATTTATAATATACTTCACTATATTGTTTATTATTTATAATATACTTCACTATATTATTTATTTCTCTTTCAAAATAATTTCTTCCTTAAAGTTCTCATTTAATCATTTCTTAAATAAACATTTTCAGCTTCTCATGACATCTTTATTTTTAACTAAGGTTTTAATCTTCATTTTGATGCATCTAGTTTGATTAAAATCCCTAGATCTCTTATCCTCATGTTAGCTATTCTTATATCCCCTTTCCTCCTTCATTAGAAGTTAAGCGTGTTTGTTATATAATCATCGAAAGTTGTACCTTTTCTTAGCTCCTTTTTCTTTTGATAAGACTTCAAGCTTTTTTATCATCATTATTACTAAGTGATATTCAAAATTTTCACATTTTAAAAGAACATTTTTCATAATGACCAATTGTACCTCCTCATTCATTAATTCTTTTGATACAACTAGCCTTTTTATCCCTTATTAAGCTTGGCTCAATTGAATAATTCAAAATTTTATCTCTTATCAACCCATATGCACTTTAATAATTTCTTTTATTTCAAATTTTACTACCTCATCCTAATGCTATGATTTATTTTGTTTTTTTTTCTCTCTATGCTCTTAAACCATAACTACTACCAATATTGTGTGGTCAGGCTTTCTCCTAGAATCACTTTACAATCTTTATATTAAAATTTTTCTTTCCTAAGTATGAAGAAATTTATTTGTTATTTTGTATTACACACTTATACGTAACCAAATGTTCTTCTATTGCCTTAAAATGTCTTCTCTATTGCAAGATTATAAGCCACCATTAAATAAAGTATTACTTCTCCAATTTTATCTATCACCTGTTTCATAAGCACCATGAATCGTCTCATGATCCAATTTATCATAAGAAATAACCTATTTAAATCACTTACGATAACTACTTTTTTATTTGTAGATATGCGTTATAGTAGTTCATTTGTCTCTTATGACCAATCCTACTAGAACTTTTTTACTTAGTTAAATCACCCCCACTAACTTTAATTATTTCAGCAGATTTATGTTATAGCAGTTCATCCATCTCTTTTGAAATTTGATTTTTTAAACTATCTTTTGATCTCACTCAAGGAGCATAAGCATTTACCATGTTTATAATTTTATTTTTTTGATAATATCTTAATAGCCATCACTCTATTTTTTACTTTATTAACTTCAACACTTTTTGACTTCAGTACTTCATACACTGCCAACCCAACTCTAGTCCGATTGTTAATTTTTTTAACATACAATAACCTAAAACCTTATTTAATATTCTTGAAATTTTCTTCTTTTTATTTTGTTTGTTATAAGCAAGTAATAGTTATTCTTCATCTTATCGAAGTGTCCAGCAACTCTCTTATATTTTCTATTCAAAATTTTCAAATTACATGTTGCCAATATAATTATAGATTTAGATGTAGTAAACCTTTATCTACATTTCATCGTGATTGGGTAATTTGTAACGTGTCACCTAGGGTTAATTTTTAACTTACCCTTGTTTTCCACCATAATTGATATAAGTTGTGCACCACGTAAGGGTGAAGCCCTAGCACACCTTTGCATATTTCTACTAGGAATACCTAGCATTAGCAAAATTCAAAATTAGATTATATTCATTAATTCTGATGTGAGTTTTATGAATGAATGTTTACTAAATATCAATTCTCAAATCTTTTTTATCTAGACTAATGATAATAGTAATATTAGTAGTAATGGTTATAGTAATAGTAATTATATTTCAAATTAAGTATCATTAACAGTCTCTAGCTTAATTACATTAAATACCTAATGACTTCTATAGCAGAGAAAGGTTGTTTCGAAGATAAGTGAGCCAAAAGGTCAAGCCAATGTCTAAGATTATTATATAAGAACGGTGTACAACAATGTTATCATATAAGAAGGGTCTATGGTTCCCACAAATTTAAGGTTTGAGAAACTGTGATGCATGCAATATTACCCTTATCTTGGATAAAGTTTTTTTTTTTTTGTTTATGGAATCTGTTTTCTCCAGATAACAGGAGGTAATCTAAAAATTCACCGAGATTACTTTTCAATATGCAAGTTATTATAATACATTTAAGTATAGAAATATAGGCACGTTTTTTCAAGCAAACTTTAAATTTTTAGTTGTGATTTCCATTGCATTTTAAACCTCAGGAAAAAAAAAGGTTTTGTTGTTTCAAAAGTATTTGGTAGTTTTGGCATGTTTCTCTTGTAGTTCAGAATATAATGGCTATTAATACATAAAGTTTTAAAAGAAATATATTATTATAATATTTATACTATTTACTTTTCAAAATTCACATATATGATGATTAATTATATACTTATTTATTTTTATTTATCTAAAATTATACCATTAGTTAAATTTAAGGAAAAAAAAAATAGTTTTCATATTTTGGCATTTCTTTGTGGATCCAAACATCATGAAATTAAATTAATTAGATCATATCTACCACAATTTGTTATGGGCAAACTTGTTAAATGTTATTCTTGCTAACTTGCATTTTGAAGTAAGATCTAGTTATATATCATATATACGCTATATTATATTGGAGAATTGTGACATGGCTGGCAGTGCTGACATATTGATCTCGAGTCACCAGTTTTGCATCATGTCAGCTGCTTGACTAATATTTTGATTAATATTGGCCCAAAGTGTGTGCCACCCTTTATTTTTAGAAATCGGAAAAAAAAAGTGGTTTTTATCTACTAAGAGGTACTTGAAACCTTTCAGGACCAACGATTTTGACTGGTTTCACCATAAATTAATATCATAATTACAAGCATATCCTATTACTGAAGATTTTAAGTAGGTATTTGTTATCCATGAATTCTGATGTTGTCTTCCCACGTACATAAATCTTCAAATTTTTGGTCACATCTAGGGATAATATTGAATTGTGTTTGATTAGTTGGCCTCAACTAGATATCAGATATTTTGATTTCAGCTCAAGCCAGTCGAACATGATTGATTTTCAGTGTCATCAGAAGCTTAATTGGCCGTAAAATCTATTAATTTAGGTTTTGTTTGGGACAGCTTCTTTGCTGCTTTCTAAATTAATTTTTTTGTAAAAAAATTTAAAATTAGAAATTTTTATATTAGAAAACTGCTTTAGAAAGCAATAAGAAAATTCTTCCAAATGAAGCCTTAATTCTCCTTGTTTATATATTTCACTAATCAATATAAATGTGCATCCATGAATCTATTTATATATTATTCGTGATGCATACATGTATATGCATGTGTATGTATGTGCTACAGAATAAACATGGATCATCTTTCTTAATAGATTTTGAGTTGAATGGAACAAATTCCTTACAAAGCTATGTCTGAGCCTAAGGAAATTACTCTTAATTTTTAGTTTGTTAAAATTTAAACTATTATCAAGAGGATTTTAAATTTTGGACATAATTGCTTGCCTTACTAGCTCTAGTTAGCTGCCTTTTGGTTATCTATTGTTTTTCTTCTATGAAATTTTAATTTTTTTCTGTTTTAATTGCATGATTGCATGTTGTTCTTATTGCAGAGATTGAGGGATCTTCCTTTTTTTACTCGAAGGTTGTTAAGGGAACTGATGGACCCTCAAAGATCACTTCCTCTTGTTTTCAGGGCTAGAATGATCTTTGCTGTAAGCTAAAGCAAAAGAAAATTGGCATACTGCTTTTTATCATAGAAACATAGCCACATAACACGGTTATGTTTGGTCGATAAAATTTTTTATTTTCCTGTTATTTTGACAGTGATATGCTTGTTATCTTCCATTGTTAAGGAAAGAAGAAGAATTCCATGAGTTGGAAAATATCTTCATATATTTACCAGTCCAACGTTAGTGAATGTTGCATTTAAATGTCTAGATTTAATAAAGTATATTTATACTTTAGTCTGTGCTCTTTATTCTATGTTAACTGAAATTGAGTAAATACGATATGCTATATCTTACTTTCAAGTTCATTCTATGAAATGATAATTTTTGCACGCTAGATCATCTACTTAATTTTTTATCTATAGAAAATTTATGATGTAAAATACAAGTGGTTGGTTTGGTTACATACGACTATACCCTAGGGTTGCAAAGAAAGAGTCCTTCACAAATTAGAGTCTTTATGCTCAGGCAAAGATCTGCTGCTATAATTTGGAGTTGATGAGGATGCCATTAGCTGTGTGCTTGTTCGAGAATAAGGGAAGTAATGGCCAATCTATTCTGTTAGCAAGATGCTCAAGGATGTTGAGTTGGGAGATCCTATCATGGAAAAGCTCATGTTGGCTTTAATGACCTTAGTTTGACGACTACGACTTTCAAAGCTCATGCAATTCTGATCACCCCCTCAAAGCTGTACTCACCAAACCTGATCATTAAGAGATTGCTCAAATTCTTTGTGGAGCTGATAAATGTTAAGTTTTGTACATATCGTGAATCACAATTAAGCTCAGATAATTGCTGACTTTGTTGGGGATTTAAATTATGTTAGTGCCGAGGAGGCGATGACTAATGAAGATTAAGCTTGGACAATATATGTTGATGGTGTTTTAAGCGAACATGGAGGAGTGGACATGGTACTAAAAAGCCTCATGGAAATCACTATCACAGAAGCTTCCTAGATTGAGTTCTGACTCACCAATAATTAGGCCAAGTACGAGACTCTCATGGTAGAGCTAATGCTCTCCACTTGGATAGGTGTTCGACAACTAGTCTTTTACTCGGACTCGTAGCTAATTGTGAGCTAAATAATGGTGAGTATGTAGTACTCAATGAGAAACTACAGAAATATCTTTTTAAGCAAAGGTAAAAACATGTTGATTTGAATGCTTTATAATAATGCAAATTCTCCATGGAGTAGAGCCCACTTGTTGACTTGTTGTCGAAGTCGGTTAAACTTGACGGGTAACCAATTGTTAAGGTGCCTGACTTTGCATTGAAGAAGATGAGGTGGTGTAAATAGAAGTAGAGTACCCGAAGAGTTGGTAGGATCCATACATAGAATAATTGAAGATAGGAACGATAATTGTCAAACTCACATATCTTATTTTATTCAAGATTAAAAGCTGCCTAATACATTCTAATCGTTGACAAGTTTTTCAGGAGATCCTCAAGTTCTCTAAACTTAAGGTGTGTAAAGGAAAGAGAGATTGGAAAAGATACTAAAAAGGTATACTTGGGCGAGTGTGGATCTACTCTGGAGGAAGAATATTTACTCAGAGAATCTTTTGATAAGCCTATTTCTAGCCAACCCTTCAAAAAGACTAAAAAACTTTCTCTAGGAGGTATGTCCAATGTCAAAAATTTGCTCTCATGCAGCTACAATATTCTCACAAACTCAAGTTTATCACTTTACCTTGGCCATTTTTGGTTTGGGGAATGGATCTCATTGTTCCATATTCCTCCTTCAGCGGGCAAAGGAAATTTATTTAAGTCATGGTTGACTACTTGTGGAGGTATGTCCAATGTCAAAAATTTGCTCTCATGCAGCTACAATATTCTCACAAACTCAAGTTTATCACTTTACCTTGGCCATTTTTGGTTTGGGGAATGGATCTCATTGGTCCATATTCCTCCTTCAGCGGGCAAAGGAAATTTATTTAAGTTATGGTTGACTACTTGTCTTAGTGGATAGAGGCGAATGCACTCGTAAAGATGACTGCTAAGGTTGTTAGGAATTTTTTATGGTCAGATATTATCTGGAGGTAAGGGCTACCTCTTGTTATAATCATTAACAATGTGCTGCAATTCACAGACAAGGAGAGTAATGAATTCTACTAGTCTCAAGGCATCCGCCTTAAGTTTTCTTTCATGCACCAACCTCAAAGCAGTGGACAAGTTATGCTAGCAATTAAGTAATAACTAAACCCACTGAGGAAGGTGAAAGGAGCAAAATATAAATTGGTAGGGGTACTACCTTTAGTTCTATGGGTGTTAAGAACCACACCCTCCTCAACAAGTCAAACACCATTTGTACTCTTCCATGGAGCTGAGGCCCTACTATCGGTCGAGTGCGAGCTTCATAGTTAATGAGTAGTCGTAACATTTTATTTGAAGAAGACGAACTAACTGAGTGGGAACAGAGATATGAAGAAGGTATGGAGACTACAGTTGACCTCTTAAAAGAACATAGAGCTCAAGCCAATCCCATGCAGGTGGAAGTGAAGTGAAAAATGACCAAATACTATAATGCCATTATCAAGAAGAAAGCCATCCAACTTAATAACTTTGTGCTGAAAAAGGTGAATGCAGCAACTCGTTGGAGTGTCAATTATTGACTTGACCCGATAACCTGACCCAAACTCGACATGAAAAATATGGGTTTAGTCGACCGTTTAACAAATGGGTCGGGTTTGAATTCCAATTTATGACCCATTTAAAAAATTGGATCAGGTCCGGGTCAACCCGCTAACCTAAATTTGACCCATATTTAACCTGAGTTCTTGTTAGCACCCATGTTCCTACACCCACATAGGCTTCGCTGTGCTGCCTGTACATCCGCAACAACACCAGCACTTGGCCTTCATAGCAACCGCGCTCGCTCCCAGCACTTGCGCTCGCATTTTTGCGTGGTCGTGCTTGCATCCCACACACGCTCTCGAGTCGCGCAACTCGCTCATTTCCCTCGTTATTGTGCGTGGGGCACCTCGCACCCAAGCTCGCCGAGACGCCTCCATCCTCGTTGGTTGCTTCCTTGCTCGGAACCTGGGTTAGTGGGTCAGGTCGGTTCAACCCGGTAACTCGGAAGGTCGGGTCTGAGTATGAATTCTTAACACGTTTGCCTAATTGGTCCGGTTCAGGTTGGATTAGCTGAAGGCAGTTTAGTTTCGGGTTGGACCCAAACCCAACTCAAAAATTCATTTTGACACCCCTACTCACATAATGTACCAACTCTCCCCTTGCTTTTCCTTAATTTTTAAGAAAAATCCACAAGGAGTCTATTTGGTACAACAAAGTAAAATTTTCACTTTTCTAAGCCATGTTTTGGATGGCGATTGATCCATTTGTGAATGATCTACAATGAGTAGTGTGTGACACCCTTACTGTCAACGTGTCACAACCCAACCTGGTAAGACCTACAGATGAGACTTGTTCTATCATATTGGCTTGCAACAAGCAAAATCGAAGATCAAAATTTTGGGTAACTTTTTAAATTTTCTATCATTATAAATTTAAAACAAACGATAGACTACATAGTTGCTAATAACTTTTAGTATACAGTAAATAATACATTCACAATCTTTCTTTTCATTTCTCTTCAAAATGTATTTATAATAATTATACTATAGTATATGGTTAAAGACTGAAATACATAATATAACAATTTAAGTAAATCACTATGAATATACAAAATTTGAAAGATAAATACCTAAACATGCACAATAGATCAGAATCTTGAATGCTCAACTACTCAACTAGTTCTTTCCTTTTCCTAGACCCTCAAATAAAATGCAGATAAACTATGAGCCAACACAGCTTAGCAGGTCATGCTTACTGATCTAAATTTTCAAATAATTCATTTATTAAACATTCATATGAGTTTGAAAAATAGTTTATATTAATTACTAGACATAATATAGTAGTGCTTGCTGTTCTCAAAACTTGAGTAATAATACATGAATGCAAATAAACATCAACAACAACAAAAACATCAAGCCTTTGTTCCACTATGTGTGGTCGACTACATGAATCCTTTTTCTCCATTTTGTCATGTTAAAAGTCAAATTCTCATTAAAATCTAATAAAGAAATATCATTTCTAATAAATATATAAAGGAATGTAAATAAACAAATACTTCATATGAATCAGAGCATAAAGTAATAGATTTTTCTTAAGCCCTTACCTCCAATAAGACAAAATTTAGAGAATTCTGATCCTTATGACTCCTATGCTGGCATGTTAGAGAACAAACTCTTATAACTTCCTCCACACATGCCAGACCTCCTCAGAATCACACATTTGAATAAGATAAACATATAATTCATTGCATTGCATTAAAAGAAATATAAAACTTATTTCATAATTTAACAAAATACTTTAACTGTAGGCATCCTAACATACTATTGTGCAAAAATTCTCTGTTTCAGAATATAACTAATTTATTAGAGATTATTTAGAACTTATTTTCGAAGCATTAATTATATTACAACATTATTTTCGGGGGTCAGAACTATTTTTCAAACAATTAAAATATCGCACTTTTCAAGATCTCTGCTATAAAATTTCGAGAAAAATACTTAAATGCTTGAAATTGTTGTCTCTATGACATACTGAAGGTTGTGTGGTGAAAGTTTTGCAAGTGTAAAGTTATTCTCGTTTCTAGAGAATGGAAATATAATTTAAATCATAGAAAAACAAAATTGTATTTTTGAAAAATTGAGATAAATAAAATGCAACCCACTTCAAACCTATCAACTTTTAAAACTGGAGTGTCAGCTGAAATCGAGTCGAAGTCGCCTAAAATTGGCTTTCTCTCCATAGAATTCCTCTCTCTCTAGCCGACAACCACAAATATTGTACTCTTGCCACGTATGCGAGAAGGTGACCATGCTTGCAACGAAGTTTGACATGATATGTCCTATCACACTCATAGAAATTTAAAATATTGGCGAATTTCCTGTAGAGTGGGAGTTGTGTGCCGAAGCTTGAAATGGTCACAGTGGATATATAGCTCGTTTTCCAGGAAAGTGTGAGCTGCTTATTCTAAGTGGGTACTTGGGAATTCTTGTTCGGATCCTTGAAGCAGTATCCAAAGAGGATCATGCCAATGAACCTCTCAATTGCCTTCAAGACCTAACCACATTTAAAATCATCAAATCCTTTGTCGCATCTCTTCAATGCCGCCATCTCAAAGGGAAGCACATGTGCTAGTGAAAGACGTGAAGAAAAGAAGGGATGAAGTAGCATTGAGTGCAAAATGTAAAGATGGTGACCCTCCTATTCAAGTTGGGTATTATAAATGAGGTTCCGGCTTAGATTTTTAGGCTCTAGCCAGACTATCATTAATGCTTCAAATTTTCCTTAATTCTTCCACTCACTCACCCTTTTATGTGGTTGCCCCCATGGAAAGAATCAAAAGTCCCACCAACCTAGGAAGCTGAAGAGTTGTCCTCTACTCGCTCACATAGAGTTGTCCTTGACATGCTCAACAAAGAGTCATTCCTAAGCTTGATGTATCGACTCACCTTCAATAGAAACTATATGGGAATGAGTAAAGTTTTCTTCATACACAAAATTAAATAATCATCCCAAGAAGATAAAGAAGAACAGAATAAACAATGAAATCATAAAGTTCATCGTAAGAATATGCAGAAAACTAAAAAAATTTATTAGAAAAATTATGATTACAATTTTTTTCACATTACAGGGCAAGTCTATTCTTCCCTTAGAAAATATCCCTTACATAGGATCTAACAATAACTCGAGAGACATTACTCCTCTCTTTGCTAAGTGTCACAATAGGAAGTGCTCCTCAACTATGAATTGATCGCCCTCATTAACTTGAGGACTTGACTACCACCACCGTTGCCTTCAACTTCAACATTTCCCTCCGCAGTAGGGATAGCTCATTGCTCACCCTTTATAAGACCCTGGGTCTTCACTCGAGCTTGGGTTGGGAGACACCACTAGGCTAACTCATTTAGCGAGTACATCTAACATAAGCAACCCTTAGGTGGGTGCTTTTGCACCTAGGTTTTCAAGTTAGGGAATTGCATCCAGAGTCATCATGGACATTAAGAGTGGGGCTTCGGGAAGTTATTTAGCCTTGAACAACGACCCTAACTCCTCATGCTTGCCCTCCAAGACCTCAGCAGTCTTAATCGTAGACTAAGCTTCTATAGTGGATGGCGCGTAATGGCCTACAGTTCTTGCTACCATTGGAGTCACCTTCCTGGATGATGGATTAGAAAGAGGTAATTCTTTATTCAAAATACTCAAAGGAATCTTTAGCAGCTTATCATGCAAGTCTAAAGTCTTTTTGCACAATTTAGATGCCTACTGAGTCAAAACCAATGCCTCAAACTCACTCAACGAGTGTCCTAATAACTCGGTCAAGTTTAAGAGGATTCTTGGCTCGCTTGAGGATGGGCGACCCTCGGCCTCCAGACATGAATAACCCAAAAATTAAAAAGAAATTCTCTTACTTTCAACAGTCGGCCCTGGCTACCAAATCTCCTCTTGAACCAAGTTGTGATTGATGGTGGGCTTAATCAAATGATGAGTTGGTGTAGCTTTGCCACCCTAGGATCATCACTTGCCTCCGCAGGTGCTTCCTCTTACTACAAAGTCGAACCCTTCTCTTGTACTTCATAGGGCGTTGGGCATGTTGGAGCTCGATGAGAGGATCACCCTCTCCAAGCTCTCCTCTGCCACCATTGCCTTCTTTGAATTGACTTTTTTAGTCTCCATTGGTACAAGCACTACTAGCTTATTTAGTTCCATGTTGATCGGTAAGCTCGCATCAATAGTCATTGCCCTTTTTCTTGCTCGTTGGGGAGCTAGACTTATTTTCCTCTTCCTTGACCAACTTGCTTGCGGACAAGCACCTTTTTCATTTTTCTTATCACTGACATTAACCGATCTTGATGGGCTTAGATCGGTTATCTCCAATGAGTTAAGAACACATGCTCAAAAGCAAAAGGGATGGAGTGTAGCTGTATCGATACCCTTACTATTATTTATAGTTTGTTGATAGTGCATAACATCAAATCAATGTTATGATTTTTAATCTTAAATTTGGCTCAACACTTGAGGTTGACAAGGTAATAACTCTTACTCTCCTTTTATATCATTTCGTGAAAACAATAAATCCTCATCTTAAATTTATTTGTCCTTTTTGTAATTCATCTTTTTCAAAGATCAAGTGAATCAAGAAACTAAATTCATACTAATACATGTACATGTAGGTAACTTGCATGTATCTAACAGATTCTCGTTGAGCTCAATTAGGAGGGTCACATGATTAAAGTGACACTCGCTACGAGTGAGACCCCGCAGAGCTTTTATTAATCCAAAGTCATGGTGCAACAACAGCTCCGTTGCAAGAGATTGCAGAGTCCAGACTCATCCCAAGAGAACATATCAAAGATGTAATCACTCTTGGCGATCTCCTCCAGAGGAATTTTCTTGACTAGCACATGTCTTTGAGGGTCACTAGCCTTAAGCAATCCTGCTTTCTTGCCGTAAATATCAATAACCAAGACCATATGCCTATCACTGATATCCTCAATCATGCTATAAGAAATGCACAGCTTTGAAGCTTATGACTATGACTTCACCACATGGACTCTTACCTGGATTATAGCTACTCCCATCCAAGGGACTCGCCTCTTGCTCCCGAGGACTTGACATTAATATTTAGGAACTTGCCCTATTCCCAATAACTTGTTGACACTGACTTGCCCTACAACTCGAATCTTGAAGACTCACCTAGAATGTTCAACCTCACACGCTCGTCTAAGGTACTTGCCTTAGAGGGGGCCACGTTAGAGGCAGTTATTCATGTGTATATTATTCAAATAGTTAACATGTCAGTGTTAGTTTGTGAAAACCACAACCTTTGTTTTTTTTTTTTAAATATTTTATTTATGTTGCCTTTTCTATAACCCTCTTGATCTTTCAAATAAAAGATGACGTGTCATTTTTTAGATATTTTTTCTAGATCATTTGTTGTTGTTGTATATATTTCGGAGATCTATATTTTCTGTGGAGTCTCCATACTTGTTAAAGCCTCGTTCACTAGATTTTATAATTCTTAATAACTTGTTAGTAGGATCAGATGCCATTCACAAATAAATTTATATCCAACATAATGCATGCCTAAGTTCAGAGCTTTTTTTCAGCCCTATGCTGTGCAACAGAACAAACCTCCATACAACAGTGCTTATGCTATGTCCCAATTCTATGCTCTGCAATGAGTTTATTTTTTTGGTCTTCTAGTTTATGAAAAATTCGTATCCTTAAGGCTTGTAATATTGTATATAGCCAACACCTGAACAAACATTGGATGTGTCCCGTTGGATTGGATAGAATCGTCTTCTGTTGAAGTTATCTTGTTCATACTTTTTGGTGTAAGCTTCATTCATGAAAATGGTTACCCTCTTTTAAAATCTGGAAAATTTGTTTCGCTGATAATGTGTGATGTATTGTTTCAAGGATATATAATTATTCTCTAAACGTACATATTGCAATATTTCTCGTCTCAAATGTACTTTGTTTTGATCTGTAGATTGTACCGACTATACTGTATGTTCTGAGCCCTATCGATATCCTTCCAGAAGGTAATTCGACACATTCTTAGTTAGTCTTTTGTGCTATATAATCTGAGACTGTTAGAACTGATTATGGAATGACACTTTAAAATTATTTATCAGATACATTGATTATTTCCCATACAGGGGTTTTTGGTCTTGTCGGATTTATTGATGATTTGCTCATTCTTCTGATTGCTTTTCTGCATCTTGCTGCTCTGTACCGATCAATACTCCTTTACAGGCATGGAGGCCAGTGAAATGTGTTCTGTTATTCAGCTTGTATTGTTTTGACGTAACAGGTTGCATGAGAATAGGAAGCCAAAAACATGATGAGTGTTCAAAATTTATTATTGAATACTTCTTTCGTCGCTTGTAAAATTTAAATTTAGCTCTGTTTTTTCCTTTTATTTATGAAGATTATATCAAACTCAAGAAATGTCCAGTAAGGGATTGACCAATATTTGTTATGTTTGAAAACTCAAATATCATCTCTCTCTCTCTCTCTCACACACGCAAACACACACACACACATAGAGATTAATAAGTTTGTCAGTGAAAATAATTATAAGAATAATCATTTATGGCAGTATCGATTCATAATATTTTATTTTAATAGAGTTTGAAAAAGATACGAAGAGTTTCGTAATCTTTTATATTATAATTTATGTAAATTTATGTAAAAACATATAAATTTCTTAACAATCAATAGAATCGAATAAAAACAAAATATATGTAAAGAAAAAAATTCAAAAATAATAAACTTAATAGAGAAAGTCCCAATAAAGATAGGTGCAAAAATATGTAGTTTTCTTAAGAAAATTAGAAGTGCAACATTTGTAGTAGATGATAAAATTAAAATATCAACAAATATATTATTTGTTAAAACAAGTACTAATAATATTGCCGTTGTTAGGTATCAAGCCTTGACTTGAATGAAAAAAATGAAGGATTGTGTTAGGTAGTCGATAGCTAGCATAAATTTTATTGAATAATCATGATATAAATCATTTAATACATTGTGTTAATGCTTGGGAGTTCCTTGGAAGTGACATTTTGTATGCTCTGAATACATCGATAAGCAAGGGCAGTTGCATCGATGCTCGGGTTCAGTGTTAAATAGGCAAGGGTTCTCACACTATGGATAAATGTGAGCAAAGAAGTTAGTACATGAAATTAAAATTGGGATGAAATTTTGGAATATCAGTTTTCTTACAAGTAAATTAATGGAATTAATAGGTATTATTTTTCATAGGCTAAGTAGAAGGATTTAAAATATTGTATTCTGGTATGCATCGTACTAGAAATGTTATTTGTGTGATTATAGATAAGAGTTGGAAATGTTATAGATGTAATTATAGATAAGAGTTTGAATGATAATATTATAAAAATTAATAGAATTGGAGATATAATTATTTCTTTAAAGATTGTTGTTGATGTTAAGATTATTAATATTATAAATGCTTATGCTCCTCAAATAGGTTTGGATATGTATTTAAAATTAAAAGTTTGAAATGTACTAGAAGAATTAATACAAAATATACCTCTCAAATTTTTTTTTATTGGAGGAGATTTAAATGAACATGTTGGTAGAGAGGTGTATTATTTTAAAAGTATTCATAGTGGCTATGCCTTTTGAGCGACTAATCAAAGTCATAAGATCATATTAAATTTTTCTTTATCTTATGATTTTGTAATTGCTAATATCTTATTTAAGAAAAAGAGATGAGTATCTCATCACTTATAAGAATGTACATAAAAACTCAAATTGATTATTTTCTTATAAGAAAAACAGATCATTCAAATTGTAAAGATTATAAAGTTATTCTGAGTGAAAATTTATGTACCCAACATTGCTCATTGATTTTGGATTTTAAGATGAAGGGGAAACAATAAAAAATAAAGTAAATCGTTAATTTAGAATTAGATAGAGACATTTAAAAATATTAACAAAAAAAATTTTGAGAATAGGATTCTAGTAGTAAGGATTTAGTTTAAGATAAAAAAAATGCTTTTATTAGAAGAGGATATTCAACAAAGGTTTAAGAGATATTTTGCTAAACTTTTCAATGAAGATTATGAGAATGCAATTGACTTTAGTAACTTTAGCACCCTAAATAAATAAAAAAAAATTGTTTTTATTAGCATATTAGTAAAACTGAAGTTAAATAAACTTTAAAGAAAATGAAGTGTGAAAAAGCTGTTGGATCTTATAATATTCCAATTGAGGTGTGGAATGCTTAGTACAGTGATGGTCTCAATCATCTATTTGAGATGGTAAAAAAAAATTATCCATCTTTACCCAAAAAAAATTATCCATCATTTTAAATAAAACAGTGATGCTCTCAATCATCTTTCCAATTGTTAACAATTTAGTACTTTTGTATAAATGAAGAACCTGCTATAAAGGTTTTTCAATAGATCGAACAAACTATTTGTAAAAAATGTGGATTTTGTTTTTACCCAAAAAAAAAAAGTGTGGATTTTTTTTTTGAAGAAATGCATAAGTTGCATTAAAATGAAAGAGTAAACAACCTAATACAAACTAGGAAGTAAAAACTAATAGATCCTTGATCAATAGAAAAAGGATTCTTATTGAAACCATATTTGTTTAAATTAAACTTATTATTTTTGAAATGAAACCAACTATTTTCTATTTTAGAACTGTTGAGATGCAGGGGACCAAAGTTTTAAACAACCCAAGGGTCGGTTAATATCCCAGAGTTCCCATCCGGTTAAAAAATAGGATCTAGTAATGATCCCATAATCAAATCTAATAAGTTTAAAAAACAAATAGAAAGATAAAAGCAAAAGGAAGCTACAAAATATAAATAAAAGACAATTACAAAAAATCCAGAACAATCGAAAAATACCTAAAAATAACATTAATAGTTATTTCGGATGTCTATTCCAACTTCCAATGATGTAGTCCAAAGCAAGAGATTTGGTAAATTCTTTGTTCATAAGCTCCAACCTTTGGTATCTTTCCACTTTGATGTTTGCAATGTAAAAATCGGCTAACATATTACTGAGATGATTGGGAAGAACCTCTCAAGTAGTTCTTCTTTCTGAGATTACTAATCCCTCTTCTAGTTTGCTCTTTCTCTGGTCCTAGAGCTTGTAGTTCTTTAAAAAATTTATGTTTATGACCGGAAGAATCAAGCTCCCTAGTAGAACCCTTTTTATCATTCAATAATACAATTTTTTTGAATTTCAAACTGATTGTAGAAGGAGTAATGGTTTCATAATAACCATCTTTTTCAAAAGACCTTGCTGCATTTGATGGAGTCAAGACCGGGATTATCTCCTCAAAATTTTCTGACTTATTCAAACTGTCTTTTGAGATAGTTGTTGAGCTAGGTTCAACAATCTGTTCGGATAACAAGTTGGTTACTGAATAATTACCCTCCTTATCCAGGATTTGTGGTAATTCATAAGTTGAATTTTGAATTTCCACAATTTCAGCCTTTTTTTGTTGATCCACGGGAATAGCTGCAATATCTTCTAGATTATTTATCAAAACCGTTTCAGAAAAATTAGTATTAATTTCAGCAATCAAATTTTGTGATTGATTGAATTCAAAATTTGAATTATGAGCAACAACTGGCTCAATTATCAAATTTGAATTATTGTTGACAACAACTTTCACTCCTTCCTTGATTTCAGCATTTTCTGTAATTTGGCAATTAAAATCTGAATTCTTCAAAGGATCGACCTTCAATTGATCAACAAAATCTGCATCTTTTAGAGGATCTGTCATTGGATCGGCTACCAAATTGCTATATTTGGAATTACGATCAACAAATGGATTAATATTTCCTGCTTCTATCAAAGGCTCGGACACCAAACTTTGATCATTAGCATTCCGATCTTCCAATATTTTTGAAATTCCTTTTTTAAAAAAGCTTTGGAATGCTTTTTCACATAATTTTTCTTTTTGAATTTTACATGCATCTAAGGTCCATAAGGATTTTCAATATGGATTGAGCTTGAAGAGACATCTTTAAAATTAGGACAAACAGAATCCAAATGTCCTATACTCCCACAGTTGAAACAAATTGAAGAAAGATATTCATATTCAAATTTTTGAAAAAATCTACCATGCAAACCTTCAACCCAAACACCAGAAGGGAGTTTGGAATTCAAATTCACCCGAATGCATGCTCTAGAAAATTCTCTTCTTCACCATCTAAACATATTACCATCCAACAATAGAGGAGTCCCAATTTTAGAAACAATCCTTGTGATATTAGATTCATCCCAACAATGAAGAGGTAGGTGAGGAAGACGAACCCATAACGGAGAAGAAACTCCATCCAAGGAATTGGGAGAGAAGTTAGGAGACCACTTATCTAACCCAATATTGAAGCCTCCTACAAACCAAGGACCTCCATTAAGAACTTCTTCCATGGCTTCATGAGTTTGAAAGGAACAAAGTAACCAGTCTAGACCAAGCAAGGCTATATGAAACCCTCCACATTTCATCCATTGCTTCCTCAATTCAATAGCACATTGTGAAAAGGTAAATTATTACCAAGAATTTTCACCACCAACGATTTACTCAAAACTTGAATATTGGAAATTTCCTTCTCCACGTCGAGTTTAACAACATTAGCATCTTCAATCTCATCATGAATCTGATTCAAATTAATTTTAATGTGTGGTTTTTTGATCCACACAATAGAATTATCCAATCTTGATGAAATAATTGGATTAATACTCTTATCATTCTTCAATAAATCACTGAAACTGCTCCTTGAAGAAGAAGCCTCCTTGTCATTTGCTCAAGAGATAATAACTGATGTAGGTGCTTTTGGTATTATTTCAAAAACCGAAATTATCTCTTTCCCTTTACCTGACTCCGACAAAGGCTTGTGTTTGGAAATCAAACCTCCCTCTTTGATGATAAGAGGAGATTCAAAAACCTGAATATTATAAGGGGAGATGCGCTTGAAGGAGAATCTACCTTTTGAATCCAACATAATTGGGCTCGCGGTAGAAACAAAGGATTTGGTGTTCCGGTCATCCATAGATGACCGGCCACCTTCTTACATCTCCAACTTTGGCACCCAAAATCTTCAAATGCTCCTTCAAAATCCTCCTAATTTTGTGGAGCTTCTCTCTCTTCTCTCTTGGCCGTGACCTCCTTAAAAAAGTGTGGATTTGTAACTAGTGAATTATGATATAATTGTCTTATAAAGAATAATAGCTATTTTCTCTTATCGAATAGCTTCGAGTCATTAGATTAGATCTTAAACTAGACCAAATTTTATGATAGGTTAGCTCGATCAATTCTTAGTTCTCTCTCTATATATAAATGAATAAATGCATAAATACATCACTTGAAATATAAAATGTATACATAAATATGGTATATGAAGGTAATTGGATGCCCCTAGTAATGAAAAAGGAAAGAGGCAAGAAAATGGAAGATTAAGTCGATGGAAAATTAGGTAGATAATGGAAAAAAATGTTTATATAATTGT